CACACACACTCACACACACACACACACACACACACACAGTTAAAGGAAGAGCTCAGCTAATGTCATTCCAGCTCATTTCTTCATAAACAAACAGAGAGTTTCATTCCCTATTTTCAGCCCCTGTCTCTTTCATTATATGGAGAAGAGCAGCGTGAACATTGGGTTAAACGTCTACTGTTTGATAGAAAGCGGACATGGAAGCAGATGAGGTTGAGGAGCGCTCTTTAAAGTGTCCGGTGGATTGTGGGAAGATTAACGCTGTGTAATGCGTGTTTGATTTGATTGTGGTGGACTGATGAGAAGATCTGCCGTCAGGTCTCAGCCCTCACTGTCTGAACAGATAGCATCAACCTCAACACCTGACTCATGCAACAACATCACAACCACTTCTGCTCAACAACACTATGTATTTGATTGAAAAAAATTTAAACAATTTCAAACGGCTGTTTTCTATGTGAATATCTGTTAAACTGTCATTTATTTCTGTGATGCACAGCTGTATTTTCAGCATCATTACTCCAGTCTTCAGTGTCACATGATCTTCAGAAATCATTTGAATATTTAATCTGCTGCTCAAGAAACATTTTTATTATTATCAATATTGAAAACAGTTGTGCAGCCCAATATTTTTGTTAGAAACTGTGATATTTTTTTTTCAGGATTGTTGGATGAATAGACAGTTCAAAAGAATAGAATTTATTTGTAACAGAAATATTTTGTAAATGCATTTACTGTCACTTTTGATCAATTTAATGCATCCTTGATGAATAAAAGTATTAATTTATTTCATTACCAATTAAAATCGTGCTGACACCAAAAATTCGGAATGATAGTGTATTTAATCAATAGATGCCATGCACGTTCTCACTTATCAAAGCTGATTTTTATGCACACACGGAATTATGCACACACCCTGTGACTGTACAAATAAATGAATGAACTCATTCAGTCTATTTATCAACAGATAGACCATACTATTTGAAGAAAGAATAGTATTAGATAGATTATCACAAATAAATAATTATCTACTGATCATTGTTGTTGTGTTGTGGTAAAAATGTGTGCAGCTTTAATGCTTCGGGTCTCATTCAGAAGAAACAGTGAAGAATCTGAACTCTGTTTATGTGAAAAGGAAAGAGTAAGATGTCAAACTTAAGCTTAATTTCCATAATGCAACTGACAGACTCTGTAGTATTTGCTTATGATTAGATAAATCAAACACATCCTCCTTCTTCAGCACACACACACACACACACACACACACGAGTCCTCCTCACCTGCTTGCGTAGTTTAGGTGCTCGAGAGAGTTTGAGAAACGTCAGATAAGGTTTGAATGCTTTGTCATCTCCAGACGCGATGCCCCGCTCCTCAAACGCCTTCCTCACGCTCTCTGAGAGACAGATGCATCCTGGGATAGTCTATTTACAGCTTCCGCGGCCAGGCCCGAGACTACTCCACTGTCCTCAATGTAAGACAAGACCATAATCAATACAGCGAGAGAGAGAGAGTTAGCCGCCTGAGCTCTCAGGATCTCTCTGCATCTGGACCTTCAACACGTTTCTCTGGGGTTTTCAGTGAGCATCCAAAATACTGTGCTCATGTAATTATCAGCCAGTATTAGTCATGTCAATCTGATTAAGCCAATACTGGAAGCACTGGAATACTGGAAATCTGAATTCAGTTTGATTCATTTGATTTCTTTTGGTAAATGATGATTATGTTATGAAAGCTGCAGACAGCGGTAACAATCAAACACATTCACAGCCAGTGTTGGGGGTAACACATTACAAATAATACGTGTTACATAATCAGATTACCTTTTCAAGTAACTAGTAAAGTAAGGCATTACTTTTAAAATTTCAATGAGATATCGGAGTTACTTTTTCAAATAAGTAATGCAAGTGTCAGAGGCATTTCCTTCAGCCTGAGGCAGTTTTGTTGTGAAAGGGCCTTTACAGTTGCCAAAAATATAACTTTTGTGTTTTTTGTTATTAAAAAAACTAATAAGCCAGCCCAGCCCATGTGACAAAAAGAAACTCAAAAATAATGTATTGCATTACTTTTTATAAAAAGTAATGCAATTAGTTACTTTTTATGGAGTAATGCAATACTGTAATGCATTACTTTTAAAAGTAACTTCCCCTGATCACAGCAGGGTAGGGTTGCACCAGCCATTCAGAAGTTAATGTGCTTAAATTGGAATGTAAAGTCCACACTAGAGGCTTAGAAACTACTAGTTAGTTTGCACTTAATGTAGTTGCACCATCAGTTCTTAAGGCAGAGCGTCTCTAGCAGGTCACACGCTCTCTGTGAAGTAATGCACAGTCACATTATATGCTGGGAATTGTTTTCCTACAAAGTTTAATACCAACTTCTTTAGTCTCGCATAAGTAAATTTAACTAACCGTAAACAAATACAATACAAAATACAATACTGACATGCAGAAACTGTCTTTGAAATGAAAAAGAAGCAATATAAATATTGATACAAAAACATTTGACATGCACAACATGGAGCGGTGCACACTGTAATGTTCTCGCCCTTAAAATATAAATGAGTGTAAACAACAACATGATCATATGTCTAAAGGATGTCTAAAGGACAAGAGCTTACTGATGCAATTCAATTAACCTGCTATTTTATTCTAACCATTACCCCCGGTCAGATGCTTCCGCAAATATTTAATTTATGTATATATACAGTATATATATATATATAAAGTTACATTTCAACTAGGTTTAATGGTGCAATGCAAAAATATTTAGTAGTGAATCCTTTATAACTTTCACCCTGCCTTTTTACATGCTAGGCTACACACAGTGTTCTGGATAAAAGCAATGCATGTGCAGATCCACTTCCAGAACAGAGCGAGTGAGCTGCTGCAGCAGTTACAGATGTGACAAACATACCAGCGTACAGGAGGAGGCTGATCATTTCACACATGAATGACTTCATATGCAGCTGCGGTATAAAGTCATGATGAATCATTATGAAGATGCATTTAAAATTATTCACAGGGTTTGACCATGATGTCTACACAAATACCCCCATATGTGTAATGCAATATTACTGTAATCATAAACAAATATTAAATCAATGCATCTGAATTTTCATTCTTCACAAAGGAAGATGTTTTGAAGAAAGCTGGCAATCAAACAGTTTTAAACTCTACTGGCTTTCACTGTTAGGACAAAAACACTTTTTGTGCTCCATTAAAGTTCTGGAATGACATGAAGGTGAGTAAAGGATGACAGAATGATAATTTTTGAATGAACTATCCATTTGAACTGTATTACATGCATTTGCATATTTGTAGCATATCTGCATCATCAGCCACAATATTGCATAAATAATTAGCTATAAATGGTAAAGTACACCTGTGATTTTTTTCCTCGAGCAACGTTGTGAGATTGGGGCGGGACTATCAGTCTGACTGACCAATGGCAGACTGGCACATCTGAAGCATGAACACAGAGCGGACGCAGAGTGGCGCACCTGCCATGAGCGTGAACGTGGTCAGATGCCCTCCGTCCACGATCTGAACGAAAGCCACTTCCTGTTTAAAGTGTCCGATTCCACAGAAGGTCAGGACCCCCAGCAGCGCGTTCAGAGGAGACTCCAGCTCTGATCATGTAGACGCAGTGCTGCACACACAAACACGACAAACATCCTGACAGTCCAGTCCTGCACGCTTCTGCTGTCAGTCTTGCTCTTCCATTTCATTACAGATAATGAGAGCGAAGGCATGTCATAATTACTGCTGAGGTGTGAGATGAATGAGCACGCAGCTCTGACAGATCAATGTGTGTTCTTGGCCTTTAAAGACGATAAAGCAGCTTAGATTTGGATTTGTTGCTTTACGGAGCAGCTGATGTGTTTTAACTGTGTGTTTTGTTCAAGATCTGAATTTAATGTAATTCGAGAACAAAAACTGACCACACAAAACAGAGTACAAATATTACTATTATAATAATACTACTATTATAAACTTTCTTACTGAACTTAACTGAATCAACATTGAAGTGACTCAAGCTGAAATTAACCAATATTTGCCCCTGGACTTGATTTCAGGGGCATTTTTTTTAACCTTGTTAGGGCAATTTTTATAATTACACTATTAAATGTTTCTGTTGTTTATTTATGTCAAAAACTTCAATCAATCAATGCTAAGCCACTGTTTCTGCAAAGACAGAGCAGAAGACAAAAACTGCATAATGGAAATAGCCTATCAATTAAAAACAGCAACTAATTAGAATGTGAAGCTGCAATATCATGATTGTCAATTATTGCTCTTGATATTGTAATAATGATTATTAATGTCGATTAAAAGTACGTTTTGTGGGGCAAAGCACATGAGATTCTGCCTACAGACAAAACAAGCGAAGAACCATTTCTGAATTTGTATATTGCTTTTTACAGATTAGAAAATCAAGGCTTCACATTGCTTATTTCAGTGGCATGACAAACAAAACAGTTATTTAAACTGGGATTAAATTAACGTGTGCGATCAATTATAATGTGTAACACTGCAAACCACATGTAACAAGGAATCTGATTCAACGTGAGCAGATCTGCTGTAAATGTAATGTCGCAATCAACACGTTTGTTCATTTCCAGACCTGACAACCTTGGAAATGATTTTTGAGTACCATCAGCATGACTGTTTACTGTTTTTTACTGTTTACTGTTTGCTGTTTTTTACTGTTTACTGTTTTTTACTGTTTACTGTTTACTGTTTTTTACTGTTTACTGTTTACTGTTTTCTACTGTTTACTGGTTTTTACTGTTTACTGTTTTACTGTTTACTGTTTTTTACTGTTTACTGTTTACTGTTTTCTACTGTTTACTGTTTTTTACTGTTTACAGTTTTTTTTACTGTTTACTGTTTTCTACTGTTTACTGTTTACGGTATACTGTTTAACAGTTTTTTACTGTTTACTGTTTTTTACTGTTTTAACTGTTTTTTTACTGTTTACTGTTTTCTACTGTTTACTGTTTACTGTTTAACAGTTTTTTACTGTTTACTGTTTTTTACTGTTTTAACTGTTTTTTTACTGTTTACTGTTTTCTACTGTTTACTGTTTACGGTTTACTGTTTAACAGTTTTTTACTGTTTACTGTTTTTTACTGTTTACTGTTTTAACTGTTTTTTTTACTGTTTACTGTTTTTTTTTACTGTTTACTGTTTTACAGTAAACTGTAGGGATGCAACAATACAGTTAGCTCACGGTTCAATAAATTCCTCTGTTTTTTTAAACCACAGTTTACGGTTTAGTTATTTTTTGCTAAGATAAGAAATAGAACTCCCAGGAAATCCCTAATATGGACAAAAGTATCCAGCTATCTCTGTTATTGAATAAAAGAAGACAGGAACACTTTGAATGATGACATTCAAAGAGAACATTAAGACACTGAACACTATACTGCGACAATGTTTATGTGTTGTTAAAACCACCTCGTGTATTTTAATAATTATGTATATTTTGCTAATCGACAATGGATGTGATAAGAAGCCACATCAGATCAGGATGGAAGTTATTTCTAAGATTCGTTTGATGTTGTGGGGTATGTTATAATGTTCTCTTTTTTTTGGGATAACAGGTTTAGAAACACTTCTCATTTCAAGTCATTACAGATGCTCGTTAAGCGGGGAGGCATTTTCTCACCTCAGCACGCAGACTCACAGACACACACAAACAGAGCCAGCTTGGAGAGAAATAAAACACGCTCTGATTGGTTGAACTCTTCATCTTTTTCTGTTGCTTGTTTTGAATACTGCGTGTGGACAGAGGCGTCACTAGGTTTTTGAGTAGTTTATAGTGACAAATCGTACCAGCGTACCAGCCGCTACGCAAAATGCGTACAGGTCGGCAGGTCTGCATTTCCCTTTAATCGTGACGGCTGTAATAGATCTAACTTAATTGGGCATTGGCCAGGGGCATTTTGCCACCTTATCTTGAATTTGGGGGCAACTTCCAACCCTGCTGCACACACAACATGTATAACACCACCTTAGGGTGATTCACATGAAAGCGAAATACATGTGGCAAGATCTCTGCAGCGGTCACAGTGTGTGTGTGTGTGTGTGTGTGTGTGTGTGTTCTCACAGATCCAGCTGCTCCTGTGTGCTCAGGTGAGTCACCAGTAGAGTGATGTGTAGCGTGTCCACAGCTATCAGTGCTCGGGACAGATGACAGTCCTTCTCCAGCAGCAGCTTCTGCACATCCTCCACCGCCTGCTTGATCTGAAACACACACACACACACACAAAAAACACTCTAGAGATGTGCTTCCCAACTCACGGCTCACAACGCAATCCAGTACTGAAACAATCCACTTTTCAAAAGGAGGAGAAAACTTCCCATTTCTTTTGTTCTTAAAGAAGACAAGTGGCACTTTTGGATTTGATAATCTCTGCTGTCCATGATGCTGTCACAACCTACTCGCTGAGACACTAGGGGTCTTTTTTATTTGACAGGGACTGTGCACATTAATTAACAGAAACTAGAGTTAGACATCTGCAACGCAAAAGGCAAAGTAAATGTAAAAAAAATAAACACATACAAATTATCATAGAATATTGTATTAAAATAATAATAATAATAAGACATCAAACGAATCATGTTCTAGTGCTCACATAGCACAGCTTCAGTTTAACAATGAAAGGACAGAGTTAGTTTCTCTAATGCATGTTGGCATGAGTTCCAGTGAAAGTGAACTGACTGAAAGCACTTCTTCTCTAGTCATTCCTTATGTACCTTGAGTGTTACTTCTTTACATTCTACATTTATTAAAGGATAAAAGACAGGATGAAAAAAAAGGATGTTTTAACTGTTGTTTTAACAGTGTTAAAGCTGACATAATAAACTGAATATGTCACTCACAAACGAAAACACACCTTGCGAGTCCATGACCCAGATATTCAATAAATGGAGGAAAAAAAGCCCCAGCATGAGATTTTGCCTTATATTTCTGTATGATATAGTTAAGCAACATCTCACAAGCAAGCTTGCTATGTTTTCTAAATATCTACAAAACTGCATACGTGATACTGATTTTATACAACCAATCAACAAACGTTATTATTAAAAAGTTAATATTGCGAATTACATTTTAGACACAATATTGCCTGTTTTTGCTCTATTTCACCAATGAAAACAGTTCCACACAAAGCCACAGCAGAACCGTTGGGGGTCACACAGGGGTGATTCACTACTGAATGAATCAGTGTTTTTAAACGAATCAATGATTCAGTGATCCATTCTTAAAGACAGTCACTGCATTCCATTCTGAGGGGTTCATCATCTCCATATTTCAATATCCAAAAGACTATTTTTAAAACATTAATCACATAGCATTCTTTATGCAATTGTAATTGCAGTGTAAACACATCTAAATGCCACTTCAGATGCAGCTTTTGTTTATACTGATTTCATCCCATTGGTAACAGTTTATAGTGTCTTAATATAACTAAATTTATTGATTATATGTAAGAACTTGACATTTTGCTGCAATAGCGAAAGACAAAATGCGTAATAGTGTTTCTATGACTTTCCAAAAGAGGGAAAACATTTGTCAGAGGAGAACAATACGTCAAATGTGCTGAGACTTCCTCAGCCGTTGCATTAGAAACGCTGACTATTTTTCTGTCGTTTAATGCCAATGCAATATAAAAAGTATGCTGTCATGAATGCACAGTACATTTTCAAAAAATGGGGAAAAAAAATTATAATAAAAAACACTGCTAGATTTAATAACTGTGGAAAGGTGTCACAGTCTGTGAAAAGGTTTCATTGTCAGTGAATTAGTGAAACTGATCACGTGACTCTGTAGAGACTAGAAACTGAAGCTCAAAATCAAGTCATGTCATCGGGTTCAGTTCACTCACAGTTATGCTGCTATTCAGCTGTTCATCTGAACTCCGACGATGACATTATCATTTGTAGTGAAAACATTAGCATGTTCACTAGTCAGACTGTAAATCTAAGAATGTGAGCGCCATTGAGAAGCAAGCATTGACAAACGTGAAGAAGCATTTCTGAAGTCCGCCGCACAGAAGAAACGCCAAAGTGCCCAACAAATGTTTTATTCATAGCATGTAGCCAGCTGGGACATTTGAATGCAAGAGCAGCTGCGGTACTAGGACGATCCACGCATCGTTTGCCAAGCAAACATCGTCCCTCAGCTCAGCTCAGCTTCACACAATGATTCCTCCGCCCGGAAGATGAGACGAGCCTACAGGAGCCGGATCACACCGCCGCTTTAAAAGGTAAGTGAGCTCTGCTGTTGTTCTGGGAGCAAGTGTGGACTCACAGCCCAGCTCCTTCCTGACCTCTGTGTTCACGAAGGGAAGCTCGGCCATTAGGCTTCTGCTTCTTCTTCTAGCCTGCCACTTTCTTTGGCTCGCTCTTTGCTTTCTTGACCTTCTTGACTGCTACAAAGAAAAGAAAGAGAGCAAATAAGGACAGGAGAGTAAGACTGCCGGTGCGCTGTGATAAATGACCTTCAGACTCATAGATGTGTGCATGCTGCCTATAGATAACAAGCTGCTGCTGCAGGTTTTACACTGAACATCAAACCCAAACCAAATACATCAAATACTGTAGTTCTGAGGCCTGATGATGCAGAACATTATTGCAAGCTTGATTTCCAAATACCTGTTGAGTTGAGATGGATTTGTTTTGCATGCACAGCACAAAACACACTTTTCCAGAACGCAACTGCTCGCATATTTAGTCTGGCTTGTATTTTCTTTGGCTTGAATTACTGAAATAAATGAACTTTTCCACGACATTCTAATTTATTGAGATGCACCTGTAGTTGTACTTGCAAATGCAACATGTTCATGTTTGGCTGTGTGCCAAAATAAGGTTGAGTTTGATAGGACACGCAGCTTTTGACCTCAAACACAAAAGATATGGGAAGCATTTTCTTCCCCTTTATTAAAAATAAAAATACTTGAAAAAATCCGCACACTCCACCAAAAATCACATGCGAGATAAAAGTTTACTAAAAAAAAAAAAAAAACAAGGCTTTTTTTTTTTTCAGTAAACTTTTTTTTTTCTTCTTTTCAGTAAACCTTTACCTCGCATGTGATTTTTGGTGGATTGTGCAGACTTTTCCCCCAAGTATTTTACTTTTTGGGAGGCTTTTTTTGGGGAATACATCAAGCGATTCTTCTTAAAGAGGCAAACAGACACAGAGAGTGCTCGTAATACCAAGTTTTAGGCATTGTTCAAATAAGTACAAGCTAGAAAGGGAAGGAATAAATAAAGAGAAAAAGAAAGTTTTTTCTTTTTTTTAGGACTTCTGCATATTCAAACTAGGATCCTAAAAATAATAATTTTCTTTAAGCAAAATGTCATTTTCTTTTGATTTTGTGGTGACGAATGACCTGGCACTTGTAAAAAAAAAAATGATTCAAGATTCACTCTATGATGAAGGCTTAGCTCATGAATATGAATGACATAATTTGACGTTTACCCAGCAGGACTGACTGAAAAGCAGGCAGATGCTGGTGAGTGTTGGTCATAATTATGGGTCATACTATTGTGAAGGCTTGGATTCATATGAATATCAGTATCAGCAATATGAATATCATGTTCAGGCAGATTAACAGGCAACATCAGCGAGACCAAATGAATATTCATGAGCTAAGCCTTTGCCATAGCAGAAGCTGTATCTTTGTGTCATGAATTGATTTTGTTGTTCTTTGTATCCAGCGCTTCCTTCAATCCACACTGAGGCCTTTATTTCCAAACATAATTCAGTCAAAACCGTCAGCCTTGTCAAAACAAAGGAAAAGATTTGCCTCACAATCCAGTGATTCTCATGCTATTAAATATATTTATTTTTCTTCTTTAACTCACCAACACTATGTTCAAAGAGACAAACAGACCCATACAGAAGTTTAATATATGACATATATTGCTCTATATCAAGAGTGATATTGCCATATATGTTACCTATAAGGCGATATATACATTTCACAGATATGCACATGCTCTGGGTAGATAAAGATATGCGTTTAGAAAATATATGAAATCACCACAGTAAGATTTGTGTATGTACTTCTGTTAATAATATCGATATTATTTTTATATGGTATTATATGTAGCAACTATGTTTACCGTACATGCTATTTATCTATGCATCTTTATTAAAACAACATATATTCAAAAAATCTGTATTTATTTGTAAAACATTTTTTAAATACATGCCTTTTGTTGTTAATTACATAATCAACATGCCATACATGTCCAAAAATGTTTTACACATAAACATACATATCTGTATGGCCTGGATATATATGTAAATATATGAAATTGTTCCAATGCAGAAAAAGGTTTCTTATATGTCATGACAATATTCTTCATAATGCATGTGCATTACATTTGTGTTTTGGGAACAACAAAACAGAACAAGCAGAAAAAGACAAAGCCAAACAGTTTTAGTTTTAGTTTAACACTAAACAGATTTAGTCTTTGTTTGTTCTGACCTTTTTCACTTTCACGAATGCTTTGGGAAGAAACGCACACATATTCTGATAAGGCAGCTATTGTTTGCAGTGCTGTAGAGTGGCTGTGTTCTGCTTCTCTCTCACACCCTCGTTTGTGTTGTGTAACTTTAGACCGCTGCTTGGGTTTCAGGCCGCGGAGGGCGAGCACGACTATCCGGGCCAAGTTCACACAGCTAACAGGTGTACAGCAAGGACCGGTTCTCCGACCGTTTGCTCCCTGATGTTTACCTGAGACCTTTCGGCCTGGAGTTTGAGGTGAGCCAATCCTGAGCACCGGGGGCTTGTTTAACTGCTTCAGTTACACACTATTCTCTCTTATCAATGCACTGCTGGCTGTATAACAAAGCAAGAAAACCTTTCTTCACTTCCAACAACAAAGCTCTGGTTCCACGGATGCCGTTTTGTCAGAGTTGTGCTGAACAAACATTTAAAGAATGACTCGATCGTCATGTGACTCCCACCAAACACCTAACCGCATACTGTATGGCTTTTATTTTCATGCCTTCACAGCGCACCATGGTTTTAGCTCTGTGGAAATAACCAGGGTGCTCTCTGAAACATGATGATTTATCTCTATTTCCGCACGCTCATTACAATTCTGTGTACTTTTATTTTGTTCCTTGGAAAACAAAAGGAGAGTTTTTGAATAATCAGCTAATGTCCATGACTGTTAGAATGTAAACAATATTTTTTTATTGTAAACAAAAGTCATGCAGTAACTCTGTGTGTTTAAGAGGCTGAGTTAAGTTTCTCCGTACTCGTGTTTCCTTTGTTTGTGTCCTTTTTTGGAGCTTGTCATTGTACTGGAAGAGCAGCCTGAACATTCTTCAAAATTTCTCCTTTTGTGTTTAATTGAAAACATTTTTTTTGCATTTTTATTTCATTTTTAAGTACTTTAGTTATTTTAGTACATCAAGTTAAACTAAATGTGTACTGGAAGAGCAGCCTGAACATTCTTCAAAATTTCTCCTTTTATGTTTAATTGAAAACATTTTTTTTGCATTTTTATTTCATTTTTAAGTACTTTAGTTATTTTAGTACATCAAGTTAAACTAAATTAAAATGAAAATGTTTCTTTGGCTGAAAAGTTTTTTTTATATTTTATTTAATTTCAAGTAACAAAAATGTTTTGTAATGGTTTTCATTTTAGTTAACTATAATAACAGAGTATATAACCCATATATATTTAAATATGTTACCACATACTGTTTGTTGTAATATTAATAAATATAATACATAATATAAATAATAGTGCTGTCAAACAATTAATCGCGATTAATTGCATCTAAAATAAAAGTTTTTGTTTACATACTATATGTGTGTGTGCTGTGTATATTTATTATGTATATATAAATACACACACATGCATGTATATTAAATATTAAATAATCCCTAGCAATGAAGGAATTTGAATGAAAAATAATGCTATAAAAGCTACTGTATGTGAATATACTGTATTTATAATGATACAAAAAATATACATCAGTGTAAAATCATAGAAATACTATTATAGTTTTTATTAATATTTAATTCATTTTTTACTTTTCCATTTTCATTTTAATTTTAGTTAAAATGTAGTTTTGTTATATATATATAATATAACAGAATTACATACACACACACACACACACGTGTATATATACAGTACAACATACTGTATGCCCTAATATTTATAGAATAATTTTCAAAACTATAGTACTCTTGTAATATTATTATTAATTGTTCTCCACGTGTCAGTGGCGTAATGGCTGAAAGTGCATATGTTTATGTGTGTGTCTAAGGCCAAACTTAGCATAAGGAGGCTTTGAGAGCATCAGAGTCACTGTATCCTCTCTTCATCACAAATCCCCTTTACGGTTAACTCTGTTCACAGGCACTGCTCAGCTGTCAGATCAACAACACGCTATTTATACCCTGCAGGTATTAGCCCAGTTTGCTCCGAACCGTTATTAGTTGTGCGGTGAGCGTTAGAGTGGCTCCTCGTTCAGCCGTCAGGCTCAGGAGTGTGATTTTGCTGGATATCTGTGGGCCAGGTGGAGGACTGTGATAATGCTGTAGCTCTAATCCATTCTGAAATCTGTGCAGTCATGCTCTGGGGTTTCAGCAGGAGCGTCAGCACTCACTGGCAGAAGGAGAAGTTTTAAATGCGGAAGAAGACCGTCCAGGCTGAATCAGGCAGAGCTATCTCAGGACAGTCGATTTCTTCCAGGTCACCAGAGTCATCTCAGCTGGACTGACTGCAGGAGATCTCCGGCACACAGGTACACACGCTCTGCTCATGTGCTCCTGCTGCTGCTCTCGCTCTCTGCAAGGCTGTTAATGTACACAAAATACAAGAACGTCTGCCCTAAAACTCTCTTTTCTCTGTCTTTCCATAAACCACGCTAAATGCGGATGGATAATGACCGTATTCTCTTCTGGACATCTGTTCATCCTCCGGTGAGTGGCAAGTTTTGTTCTGACACACACTAGCAGTCTAGAGTTCAGACACACTGAGTTTATGTTTCTCATTGTCGTAAAACCTGTGGGCTTCTTCCTAAATGCTTGAAATTAATTCTGTAGACAAATGCAATTGCGATTTTCTTTACAAAACTAACATTTCAGTGGTGAAGGAGAAGCATCATGAAGTGCTCATGAAGCTGGTAGATGAACGCCAATGCACAAAGTTTTCATTTGAGTCATTGTTCCCAGACGTCCATCTGTGAGTCCAAGCTCTGGACTGCTGCTGTATGCAGTCACTGAGATGTACGCCAAGTGCTGTTGTTATTGCTGTAAATATCAGAATGTAAAGTTGCATTGGTTTTCTGCTTGTGCAATATAAAATGTGTGTTTGAACAGGTTAAAGTCCGTGAGAACTGGAAGTTGCAGTTGCCTTTACTTCAGTATTGTGACGTGTTTCCATATGAAATGTAATATTGAATAGAGGGCAGAGCTTGATTTTTTTATTAACTTGCATGGATTAATTGTTCACCACAAGACTAGTGATGTGCACTAACAGAGTAAATCTGGTTAATTTAGATTTTATGCTGACTTTCAATAAGATGTTCAGCACACAGCGATGTTAGATAACCTTTTTTGTTTCATTAGTTGTTTTGGTTTGGGTAGTTTTGGAGGTTAACACACAGCACTGGTGCATTATGGGGTCTGTTTGTGGTCAGTGGTCATGTTCAGGTAATGTTTCTCATCTTTAACTCCTGGCATGATAGTCTTACAGATCCTTCACTTCACTAAAGACTACAGCAAAGCGCTTTAGCTAAGAAAATCCTTAGTTTATAAAATATGATGGTTAATTTGATGATGCTTTCAGCGGTCGGTACACAGATTTCTTCAAATCTTTCACCAAAACCACTGCAGAAATGGCAAAAATAGCCTGCGGATTCCAAAAGGACATACTAACGGCCTTACGAAAATGCCACAATACCATAGTTATTAGCAGATGCTAAAACACACAGGGCCAGGGAGGAGATTTTTATGAGTGGGCCCCGTTTGCCAGGACCTCGAGAGTAAGTTGGACTAAAGAGAAGCCTAATGAAAGTTCTCCTAATGATAACCCTGATCAGTACAGTCAGGGTTATGGATGGGATTCTCAGAAGTGGACGTCGTCATAGTTGGTAAACTACTGTAGTGATGAATGCAAACTACAACGATATAACGCATACATTTGTTTGTGTTCTCATTTGCACCAACAGCAAAAGAAGCATCCATGATAGCATTTCAATGACTTTCCAAAAGAGGAAAATGAATATAGAAAGATTGATTACGTTAGTCAGAAGAGAGAAAGATGTCAAATTTACTGTCACGTCCTCAGCCGTTGTGTCACTCATACAGCAGTGTTAACTAGTTTTCTGTAATTTAATGCCAAGGTAAGAAAACACAAAGTATAGTGTTAATAACTGTAGAAACGCATCCTCACAGTCGGTGAAAATCCCCATTACTATAAATATGCATGCTATTTAACATGGTATTTACACCATTGGCATTAAAGGAATTAAACAGAATGACAGAATGGTTTTTACTCAGTTTGGAGGAGAGCCCATGTTTATTTTACAGTTACAATAACTGCATGGTAAATTCAACTGTACAAATACAAAAAAAAAAAAAGTTACTTCAGTGCTCAAGTGAATAACTTGAGCTGTGGAATATTCTTGAAATTTGTTAGGCTGTTTTCTTTTTAGCTAGTTTTCTTCTCGTGTGGCTTTGAACATATCCACTAGTGCGCGCTGTTTCTCTTAAAGTCACCAGTCTTCGCCGTGGTTCCTTTTGTCCGCAGTTCTGTAGTCAACATCCTTATTATAAACTACTCTCAGAGCCCTCCAATAGAAGGCGAGAATTCCGAACAGACAGCGAGTCCCACCAATGACATCTCGAGTTCGATTTCCGCCGGCCAATCAACGACGCGGAGGCGGGCTCCGGCGCGCACGTAGAGGGGAGGGCTCCCATGTTTCACTACGTTGGCGCTTCTCCCAGAAAGATTTCGGTGTGGGAATTACAATTTTACATTTCTGAGGCTGTCGGAGGCTCTTTAACCGTAGACCACATCCTCAAAGTTTCGCCGAGCGCGTCTAGACTGGAAAAGGTACGGCGATTTTGGCTGTTTTTAATCCTATCAGCAGTGTTTGTGTGTATATTTCCTATAGGTGATTCCGCAGGGAGCTGATTGAGGAGAACTTTATCATGAGCCGTTAGTCTGATGTCACGTCTTTCAAAAGATAACGCCGATAGGTGCGATATTAATACTGGATTATGCTTCTTTCTGGCGGGCAGTGTTTGGGATGGTCACTCTGTGAATCTGTGTCTCGAATGAATCGTGTAACGATGATTTACAGCCTGTCGTGGGTTGTTCGCATTGCTGTGGTGTTTGGAAATGTCGTTGACCCACCGAACCCGATGTATGTAACGTTAACATTACAGTCTACTGGCGCTGTGTGATGTAAATGTGTGACATATGGACAGTTCTCTGTATCCCATACCAAATCCCATATGGCGTCTTTACGTAACGATATAATCTCCAGTCGTGATGTTTACACCGATCAGTGCTGTCTGTCTGCTTTAACAGCACTTTACCCGCCTGAACTCTTCACTGATTCACTCATCTGGATGTGACGCTGCGTAACATCAGCGCATTTTCAAGCGACTGAAGACCGTTAAAATCATCTTAACGTGTTTTTCTTTGCCTTTAAAATTCAGTGGCACGTGGCTGGCGCGAGCTCACAGCCCTGTGTGTGTGTGGTCACCTTTACACGCCCCAGGACATCGCTGCGTGTCACGGGTTTTGGTCTGGTGTCGTTTTTAACGCACAGAGGAAAACGCAATAAAAATGTGGATTTCGCAGCGCCATCTTCTGCGGCGCTGCGAGCGTTTCTCTGACGCCAGAGCTTCAGGCCAGATGTGCTCGTTTTACATCACACACTGCGAGCGACGCGACGAAAACGTCGCTTCACCGAGAAAAAAAAAAAAACACGCCTCAAAGCCTATAGTTGTTTTTTCCCTTTACTCTAAAAATGTAGTTGCTGCAAGCCTGTTAGTAATAATTGTGTCATCATAGCATTGGAGATATTTTAAAATTCGCAAAAATGCTGGAACGTGCCAAAAATGTCTGAATTGCGTTTCCGGTTATTTTATTCTGATGGCTTCATACTCGGTTTAAAGCTGTAGTAGTTAAAAACAATAAGGATAGTAACGGTAGAATTTTGGCAGACACTATGGACAACTTGGCTTTTTTTTTTTTTGAAGGCTAGTCATAATTTCATAGTTGACATTTTACCAAAGTGCTTGAACGGATAGTTCACCCAGAATTGAAAATTCTGTTATATTTCCTCACCCTCATGTTGTTTCAAACCTATGCATTTATTTCTGCTGAACACACAAGAAGACATTTTGATGAATGTTAGTAACCAAACAACAACTTGTCCACACTGACTTATAAAATATATATATTTTTTCCATATTTTGGAAGTCAATGGCTACCGTCAACTGTTTGGTTACCCAGATTCTTCAAAATATCTTTTTATGTTTAACAGAAGAAAGAAACAACATGAGGGTGAGTAAAAGTATTTTTGGGTGAGCTATCTCTTTTAAGGCCAGTGATTTTGTCAGCCGAACCCTTTTGATCTAAAATATTTCCTTAAAGTCCCACTGAGATCTTAAGTTCTCTGTTGTTGATTAACGGTCAAGTGACATGCAAGTAAACAAGTAAAATATTTTAGGGTTTTTTTTCAGTACGTGTTTATTTTTTATTTTATTATTAAAATAAATTTTAATAAATTTAATTATTTTAATATAACATTTTTGTGACCGATCTAGCCTGATTTTGTGCACCAAATCATAATGCAGTGCAAGTTTGTGTTTCTGGATGCAGCACGGGATTTTAAGGGAGAATCCAGTGCAATGTCAAACAGAGACTGCATAGCACACAAAGTGATACAACAGATACTCTTATCATACCGTACACTACACACAGTACTATATGAAACACAGTGCTGTCTTCTCAAAGTACATTTGATGGTGTGATGCAGAGTGAGCGCAGACTGTTTTTTCCTGTGTGAACCACACTGTTGTTGTAATGCTTCTTTCTAGTACTGTCTAATGCATGCTCTGTATCGTGTTGTGAAGTAGGTTTATCAACATGCGTGTGATGAAGTAGCAAATATTTGCATTTGTAAGTGTCAGTGTGGATCATGTGATGTGTGTACGTGCTAATATTTGACAAGAGTCAGCCACTAAAAGAGTCAGTGCACGGTTTCATTCCCATTCAACTGTGGTAGGATTTCAGGGCTTGTTTTGACAATGTGAAACAATACGTCATGTGAAACGCGGCGCCCCTCCCTGCTGCGGCTGCTTAAAGCCGTCGCCAGCGCTGCAGGGATTAGCGTGTGCTCGAGTGTCAGGTTTTTGGTGGAGTATGGATCTCTATTGGGTGAGCTGTGAAGGTCTCTGAGTCCACCGGTGTAGCTTTATCCCCAGACCATCTGTCAGATCCGTGCAGCGTCCCGATCAGTGCACAACACCAACAGACAGCGGGAATAATTTCACATCTTGTGTGTCACAAGTGCAGCATGTGCCATGATTTAAGTGTGAAAATCATTGTCACTGTTTTTGTTTGTTAGCTTGTGTTTTCTAAGGGTCTTATTTGACCCATGTGCGGTTGTTCACTGCATTGGGAAGTTGCTGCATGCTAGTCAATTTTGCTTTTGGTTTAATAGCAATCACAACCACAGTGCTAGGCTATATAATTGAAGTTAATTTCATTTGATCTGCTTCAGGTTGTTGTTACCATTGCTTTGGGTTTTATACATTTTCTTTTGCTCGATAACCATCTGTGATGGATATGCTGCTTTGTTTGGGTCTCCCACATGTCACCCTGCAACACAAACCTATAGTTTCATCAGCGCATCACTAAAGCCGTTTTCATCCAAGCTGCAAATTTATGTAAAACATTT